GTAGAGTTTATGTATGTGATGTTCTTTGTACTTGTTTTTATCCAAAATCTTAGAGTTCCTGAGAAGAGGAGTTTGATCTGCACCAAGATCCTTGCTGATTAACCCACACCAATAGTAAGCCGCAAGATTCTCCCAATAGCATACACTTATTTCCAAAACCAGTTTAGTTTATGATTTCATCTTATCAGGACATTAAGGCTGAGATTCCTTTCGAGCGAAATGTCAAATGTCACTTGGTCATACCTACTGAAAAGGTATGATACGCTCCGCCTTAAGGTTGAACCGGTCCTTCGATGATGGGTGATATAGTGAACTCTTCAGGTTGCACAACTACTCATAAAAGAGCAAACTCGGACCGCCAATCAATGTCGTTTTTGGAACGCGCCATTTTTATTCCACTTGCATTTAGATTAGCCATAACGGTTGTATGTGCATCTACGCCTATGTAATGAATCATTAGTGTACAATCCAAGCTTTTACCTCTCAAGTTTAATGTGGTACCCATAGCGGTGCTGCTCCTCCTTGAGACTCAAACGAAATGTATTACTTCGGCTAAGAACCATATCTAGGCATATGTGAGGGTCTAACTATTTGTTCACTAGCGCGTAGGGCTGGAGACCAGAGGTGGCCCGACCTCTCCTAGGAACAATATTTTCACATCTATCTTTTCTACCGCGTCTCCTTTGTCAATCGACGGAAGCGACAGACAGAAGACATAATTCAATCAGTTCATCTAAGACACACTCTTAAACCCTAGGGATCCAGGTGAACGAGCCATTCGTACTTGCTTCGAAATATGGTAGAAGAAGAACAAGGACAGCACGACTATCCAAGTCTTTGAAAATTGAAAAAAAANAAAAAAAAGTTTTCCTGTTCCACCCGAGTCCTACTTAGAAGTGACTGTAGGGCATCAATGAGCAAATAATGTGAAGCTTGAATGCGTCTGCGAACTCAGAAGTGATTCAGAACTCACGGTCAACTACAAAGTATCATCAGAAGGGATATGGAGTCAATGCTAAGCACCTCAGTCGTCATCTCTCTGAAGGAGAGAGAAAGAATAGGAAAAGACTTTCTGAAATTGAGTGAAATACATAGTAAGAGAAAAACACAAAGGAAAATCAAAGGCAACGTGCAAATCGATGGCTGCTTGCTCATCAGTCAGTAGGGAACAAAGTCCACAGCCCATACCGGTCGATGGTGCTCGACGGCAATCGACCCCCGGTAGATTCGGTCAGAATTGTATCAGGAAATCATTACGGCCGCTTCAAAGATGTCTAGAAACCACCAGCATAGAACAGCAATGCTTATGAGTCAGATAGATGCTGAAGAAAATTAGATTTTTTTGGAGCTTCAATCGAAAGGTTGTACCTCAGTGGAAACTAACCTTATTGTTGAAACTTTGAGTCCAACTAGTCTCTAATTCATTTCTCTCAAAGCAAGGGGAACTATCAAAGGGATTATGATAGCATGAAGCACGTCTCTCAGAGAAAGACTACTTTATTTTTTCTGTCGTGCATTACCATTATAGCATCTACTTTTCTTGGAAAAAATGGTACTATTAAAAATGGATGGAGGTACTGGCTGTTATAGTGATGCCTTTGAAATGTTTCGAGAGAAGTTTTCTTGACTTTTCATGAGGGAGATCATTGCAAAAAAAAGGCCGGAAAGAATTTTCGTGTTCTCAAAATGCTTTATGGGCATCAGTTTACAAATCAGCTCACGAGCAAAATATTACCTAGGAGATCCAGCTCGTAGAGCAGATCCGAGAACTGTAGCCTATGGAGCATTTCGAGCACACGAATTTTATTTCGGCTTATTCTTTGTAATGGTCTCCCTCACGAAATTTTCGAAAAAAAAGTTTATGCTCTAGAAACATGCCAAAGGCATCACTATCAGATTCGAAACTCAGATCCTAGAGCTGATTTCAAAACTGATGCCCATGCAGCGTTTTGACAACAAGAATTTTTGGCACTATTTACCCTTTACTGTCCCACTCTGTCGAGAAAGGGCTGGATTTCTATCGAATTTTTTCAAAGAAGATGAAACCAGCTAGAAACTTGCCTAGAGGGGTAATTCGACCCGTAGAACACGAATATCGCATCTATTCATCATGAAAACGCCCGCGATACTAGTTAGGGGCAAGTTTTCAGTAGGATATCTAACCCAGCGATTTGGCGCAGGCGCCTGTAGCGCAAGCGCCAGGCATCTTTATGACATATGGATGCAATATTCGTGTTCTACGGGTCAAATTACCCCTGTAGGCACGTTTCTAGCCAGTTTTATATTTTTTGAAAAAATTCGGTGGAAATCCAGCCCATTCTCGACAAGGTGGGGCGGTAAAGGTTAAATAGTGCCGAATTTTTTTTTTGATGGTCCTCATAATATTTTCGAAAAAATTTCATCCCCCTAGAACAGCTCTGCGGCCCAGCTCTCCACACAGGAGCGCTTGTTTGTTGACAACCACTGTAAGTAGGTATAGGAACGGACTCAAAATCTGATTCCTTTTGTATTCCAACTGTGACGCCTACTACGTTTGTTAAACCTGGACCTTCGAAGACAATCCTCTGACCTGATAATAGAAAATCGGGGAGAAGCCCTGAGGAACAGCAGAAATGGCAGAAAATGCTGGCGATGAACACGCTTTGGCGGTTTGAGAAGAAGACAAATCCCTCAACCCCAAGGATCTCCCGCGATGAAGAGTAGACGGTTATGGAGAAGCCATCGAAATCGTGTAGGACTTCCGATACTTGAGGAGTGACCTCACCCAGCTGCTGATGTTGATGCGCACTAGGCTATTAAAGTCCGAATAAATGCTGCATGGATGAATGGGAGGAACCCGTCAGTCGCCTTTGCGACAGAGAGCGCTTCAGAACTCTCAGAGGAGATGTGCACGGAACAGGGTGAGGTTTATGATGCTCTACTGTAGCAAGTGCTGGTCCGCAAGTGAAAATCCTCAAGGATAGCTTCACTCCGCTGAAATGAATGAGACAGCTGAATGCGAATGGATCGGATCGGGAACGAAGGCAGCAAGATGGTCCTACAAAAAGCCTCGAGCTCGGGGTAGTTGTATCGAAGTTGTCGCGTCAAGGCCAGGACGCCGTGCGCGAAGAGAAGTAGCAGAATGCAGCAGCAGGTAGGAAGTACAGGAACAAAAGAACTAGCCTTATAGCTATGCCTAAAATAATGATCGCATATCAATTGAGCTTCATGAAGAAAGCTAAAACTGTAATAACGAGGTCCGCGACTGTCGCGTGCGGCGAATCGATGGCACAAAACCGTTCCTACTGCCCGTCTCCCGGACTGAAGGCAATCGACCTTAAAGTTCAAGGGAAGCGACTAGAGGAACCTCAAAGAGGAGGCGGCGGGACGCGATCAAGAAGAACCTTGCTGAAAGCAAATCGACGGCCGTAGATTGAAGCGGGTCGGCATATCAAGTTCTCTGCTTAAATAAGTGGACTCCACATGGTAAAATTCGGTAAAAGTGTGTCTCTAAATGGGCGAAGGTCTATTACTCATCTTATCGACGACAAGAATCCGATTGTGCATGTGAAAATAAATTGANTTTGTCGTAAAAAAGTAGCGACGATCTGATAGTGATTAGAATCAGGCTGAGTGCCCTTCAGAATCCACACATGCGGAAGATCATCCAGTGAAATTCTGATCAAAACTATATTAAAGCATCTCGCATCAGAAGCCAACTGGTTGATTCCAGAGAGAATCGGGTGGCAATTTGATGGAGCCCTTGCCCAACTTTTACATATTGGGCACCTTTCCTTTTACGTCTTCGCATTTTCCAGTTATGCATGACTGTAGCAGTGGTTTGAAGATATATGTGCTCAGCATGACAAAAACTAGTCACGTCACAGCAGGAGCCACAACACAAGTTGAGGGGGCCATAGCCTCCCCCCTCCATGGGAAATGGGGGAGGAGTCGATTGAACACTCAGTTAACCATCGAATCGATTTCATTTCTTTTCATGAGTGTAAACAAACGCAACTAGCAGACTATTCCTGCTTGAAGAACATCATCACGGGCACGCAAGCATAGCTGCCCCTTCTTCTCTGCGAAAGCTGTTGGAGAGGAGAGTTGTCCACCTCCCAAGAACATTTTCATTTCCAAAAACCCATCAGTAGTACGTGGATTACAGAGACTTGCAGCTGGAGAAGACTACAAACAAGTATGAGGAACTTTCAAGTACAAAAAAAAACTCATTCAAAATGATTAATTTAAAAGCTATTCATCGGTTGTCTTTCGAATTACGTCAACTCGAAAAGGCATCGAGAATTTTTTGGTCAAAGTCGGAATAAATGAGGAACTGCCATGCAAAGAAGCAGAGCGATAACAGACGGCATCGCCAAAAGTGGCTCAATCTCGTCCTCGTGCAATCCACCTAACATCCTGAAGAGAGAAAAAGAAAAAGATTACAGGCGACTGGAGATGTGTAAATTTTTCATCCAAAAAAGGTGAACGCCCAGCGGGAAAATTTCAGAAAAGTATCTAAGTGAGTTATATCTTTCTCTAAAGAAACTCGTCTGCATCCTCCCTCGGAGCCAACCAGCAACTGTTTTTTAGCCAAGAAACAAACGCTGACAACAAACGTGCGCTGCACGTAAAAGAAAGAAACCGTATAAAAAACATAAAAAATAGAAAAAAAANTAAGATAGGTCCAGGAGAACGCCGAACATCGAGCCGCCTCGCTCATGTCTTTTTCCCGCCTTTATCGACCACCCACCCAGCCTTCGAGCTCCTTTGCCGTGCCATATTTTAATTATCTAATAAAGACTTTCATTACAAAACGACACGTAAACATAAACATTTTGGAAGTTGTTGTTTCAACACATACAGAACGTAAGCAACTCCTCCCTCCTACAAGTACAACATTTTCTTCTCTGATCCTGCTTAAGGAATAGTGCTCTTGCATAGGTACTCCCTGTGCGCAGGGGTCGATCAAAACTGATGGGCTGTCTCTCGAGCTGTTCTTCCAGTCACACCCACGGAGTCCACTGAAATCAATCAACAAGGGGTGGTACTGAAACGACTGCCCAACTCATCGACAGAGCCAATCCGACTATCGCTTCCATTCTATCGCTGATGATCAAACGATCCTTCAACAAACATACTAGTTTTTCCCTGTCTTTGGGTGAAGGTAGAAGCGCGTATTCACGATATTTCATTTATCATTCTGCGATATTAAATCACATAGCTAAATGACGTGAGAGTGCTATGATTTTCTCCCACATTCTTCCTTGACCGATGGATCGAGTTTCCGAATTTCGGAATTCAGATCAGTGAGTTCAAGCGATCGTGAACAAGCAGAAGCTTCCAGGAGCGAACACTCACTACACGGTCACGCTAGTGGGTAAGGCTGTTGGTAGGCGTGTCCTCTTGCCAAACAAGGCCTGGAATGAACACAAGGGATAAACTTTGAAAAAACGGTCTTGCAGGGCAATTTGATGGAATTCGCACGGATAAGCCGAGGGAGCAATTGGTACAGGGCGAAGTGGCCTACTACCACATGCATGGTCTGCTGATGACCGCCCACGCCTACCCAGCCCTCTTCCCTCCATGGCCGGTTCAATGGTGTCAAGCTCGTTTGGAGGCACTGAATTGTACATCGGTTGGCCACACGTCGATGCATAGGCCACACACGCTTCGAAACCCCTTCACGATTCTGGTCTGGATTAAAATCCAGCAGGGTCGCTCAAAAAGGGAGTAGTTAACGCCACAAGAACCGAACCTTTTGTAAACTAAGCCCGTGTTCGGACTATACTTATTCGGAAAAAATAGATTGGATCCCGTTTTCTCGCTTCTGCTGGCGATGCAAGCTACGTGAACCCTTTCCGTATTCTTCTTAGGAGAATAGCACTGAGGACTCCATCATGAAGCTTTATTGGTGAGCTTTCGCTGTATTAACAGCCTAATCAGACTTTAAAACTAACACACAAGTATACAACATGCGTCTCATAAACATAAAATCACTAAGCAGGCCGATGACAGAAGTTCGTGGAATTCTGTAATACAACATGAGCACGATAGTAAGTATTAAGAACACATCGAAGCGAACGGCTCACCCTGACAGCCCTGAC